GTTCTAAAAAATTTTTCGTGGAAATTATGTGGAATCTTGCCGTTTTTATTTTATTAGTGTCGATCAAAAAATTTTACAAATTTGTGGCGTCAGTCGCTAATTCTTGAACAGATTTTATTATATTGTATATTAATACATGATATATATTTTTTATTATTATTATGTTATGTATGAGAACAAAACCAGTTTGTAAACATTTCTCTATTTCGTTTGCTTTCCCCTTTGTCTCATACAGCATACAAGCTCTGTTTACAAAGAGGTGCTGCCTGCCGTCGACTTCTGTCAGCCTGCGGGGCCTAACCTGCGTCGATGCCGCGTCATACAGGTTCTCGCTTCACGGGTACTTAAAAAAAAAACAACACGACAATATAACACAAAAAACAACACAAAACGCAACCATCACAAGTGCAACACACATCCAACCCAACATTCATTTGAAATCATTCATGTACATTAACTTATTAACTCAAACGCAACATTCATTCGAGATCATTCATTCATTTCATTCTTATCCGGAGTGTCGATGCTGTCTCTTTTGATTGCGAACGTTTTTCGTTTTCGTACGTACGAAAGGGAACTTGGTCTTTTTTGTTTTTGACTTTTATCCATCCGTAATCGTTTATTAAAATGTAATCCAATTGAGAAATGAACAGTGTTTGACTGTTGGTGAGTAGCAAAATTTAAATCGTGACCTCTGGAAAGAACACACTGTACACACATACATTATCATAGTACCTGCATTACATACTGTTACATTCATACATAGACACACCTACACAACACGCTCTTTACACGTACTTACACACATCATCGTAAACACAAGCGTTACACTCACGTAATTTTAAGGACACTAAGTTATTTTCTATAACCATATTTTTATCTATCTCTTAATAATACACATAGAAAAGTGATCAGTATTTTTTGTCATTGCCATAATATATATATATATATATGATTAGCTTATTTCATGTTAGATATCAAGTGCTACTCCTCCCTCCTTTTTGATTTGTTGGCAAAGCACTAATAGTAATATATGATAATAATAATGATAATAGTAGTATAAAAAGAACTACTTGTTCGCAAGTAGTGAACAAAACAATTTAAAGATACAGTATGTCTTAATAAAAAAAAATTAATGATTCCAGCTAGGCCATTGGACGCGGGGCATGTTCTCTTTTTTCTTTCAGGTTTCAGAGTAGCAGTTTTATTACCCTGTTCAATCGATCTGCAATATTATCGATTTGTGGGAATGAAAAGTGAAAACGTTGTGTGCTTCTTTTTTATGTCCCTTTTTACCAATATCCAGGTTATTTTTAAATCCCATGTGGAACCCTCTCTACATCTGTTCCGGGTATTATTAAAAAATTATAAATTCCCATGAGAAAGATGCACGAACCATTTTATAAGTTCAGATTTTTATTTATTGTCAAATAATAATTCAAAAACAATTTTTGTTGACATTCTAAGTTAAGGCTTTCACTGACGGCGTTATTTAAAAGAGCTCAATGTTTGGGTTTGTCGACCGTGATGCAGTATTGATTCAGGATCGAACCCTTTTCAAATTTATTTAATAGTCTTTGTACAGTCTTTAAGCATCCAAATTCCTTTGTTATATATAACTATTAAATGTTTATGTGCAACTTTCCTTTAAAAAGTTACTCTTTTGCTTGGTATTATTTATAATCTTAGTGGAGAAGAAGGGACATTTACATTTGTAAAATTTACAGTATACTTCCAGATAGTAAATTTTTACGTGGTAAAATTCCCTCCTTTTCTTTGGACTCCCTTTTCTATTTCTCTCTTAACTGCTTAAAAAAATCTCATTTTCCATAAATCATTTTCAGAAAAAAAATAAGTCGGTATTGGTGTGTGGTTTGGTATTAAAAATTAATGCATAGGATTAATCATAATGTGTCGACATAATATTAACTTATTATTATTATTTTGTGCCATTATATTATCAGTTGCAATTACGTTTAATAATCGTTACATTTATTAGAGTTAAGAAATTTCTTTGCAGGTTGCTACATTGAACAAAAGGTATATGTAGCAGCAAGCAAGGAAAGTGCATCCCATCAGTGTATTCGTTAAATCAATCGTCTTGTTTTTTAAAACTCATATTTTCATTTTTTATTGTNACTACAGGTCTTTTGCAATTTAAATGTCTTTAGCTCTACAAGTTTTCCATTGTAAATTAAAAAGTTTGTGATGGTAAATGTAGAAAAATACGAACTAAGGAAGAAAGTCAATTTCTCCTTTGTTATGCTAAATTTTTCATTACCTTTTTCTTATTTTTTTTTATTATCTTACCCTTAAAAGCATACTTATCTTAAAGGTAATGGACTTGGCTATTTATTTTATTAAGTACTGTAGGTAAATACCAAATAATTGAAATTTTCTCGATAAAAAGATTCAAATTTTAAAATAGAAAAATATAAAATTTCGTTCGACAAAAAAAATTGAAATTTATTTTATTCGACTATTTTTATTTACTTATGTGGAATGTAAGAAAAGTCCGAAGTATTTTATAACTTTAGAGTGAAAGCTGTGCCAGTTTTTTCTTCAGTAATAAGAAAATATATGCTGCTATGGGTATTTAATTAGTGTATAGGAAGTTATATTAGAGACAACATACATTCACTTCCTTTTCATTCATTAGATGATTTTTGGAAGTTACAGTGTGGAAAAAGTTAGCTTTGCACAAAAAATGGTAAATAAATAAATGTACGAGACACAACTCCGAAATTTCATTGATGGAGCTATAAGTAATGGACAAGGAAGGAAATAAATTAAAAAATTGATAATCAGTTTGAAAAATCATTTTCTTCACAAAAACAATTTGCAAACGTTTAATTAATTCCCTTTAAATAGGTCTTTGAACTCATTACGATGCAACGCTTATATTCGTACAGAGTACAGTAGTGAGTAGGTGTATGGGTTTTAGAAGATACTACAAATGGCGCAATAAACGCCATCTGTAGTACGATGCTACATTTTTAGGATTACGTATGCTCCAACAAGGTCCACTTGTGTGGATATCTACTTGCTGAAAACGAATCCCGGCGTAGCCAACCTCAACGTNATTATTTCAGAGATCTAAATTCAAAGGTTCAAAATAAATCGTCATTCAAAATATTAAAGAAAGCAAACACGTTCTATATTTATCCCAGAATTTAATACATATTCGTATTTTGTAATATTGTAAATGAAATATACTGCCACGTACATATTTATTATTTATTTATAGAAAGTTGTATTGTACAAAATTTAATAATTGAACCAGAATAATATCATTGAATATATAAAAAGACACACTTGTATATAATATAAAAATAAGCATATATGTATTGTGAAGGATCTCGGTCCATCATGATGAGGCCAGCTATATTAAATAAGTAAAAGTGATTTAACAGTATGTATAATAAGCAGTGTCAGTTATTAAATAGAAAAAAGTAAGGATTTCATGTCAATGTTCAAAGATTATTTTAATTTGATTCAGAGTTACGACAAAAACAATCTAAGGTCGAGGGGTCAGGGAATTATAATCTTGAACGCTAGAAAATAAATACATACACATGTACATTTAAATTTTATTTGGAATTTAAATCATTATAGTAGCAGTTCCTTCCAGGAAGTGGGATCTACTTTAACTGAATATTGCGTAACACTGCAAGGTAGAAATATTACAAAATTATCTGGTAATATAAGGGGTATTGAACTTTTAGAGAGGACACCAGTATGTTAATGAGTATGCGTAAAAAAAGGCAAAGTCCGATCCTGTCTTTCTGTGGCTGCCATAAATAATATTCCAAAAAAATTATCGACTTTATGTTTACAAAATAATTGAAGTACATATAAAAACCATCTACGATGGGTCGATATCTATCTTTAAAAACTTTTATAACATTCTTTTTTGATTGGGTATTACCGCTGAAGAAATAACATTAAATTTTGTTTTATTTTTATTATAGTTTCGATCACCATGTGGACCACAATAATATACAAGCCTATCCCGACAGATTAGCTTGGTCTCAAGAGAGGTCAGCAGCCAAAAGGCAAAAGTTAAACATCAAAGTCGAAGACGATGAAATCAATGACAACTATAGTTTCCCCGATTCGGTTAGGACATGCAAAGAAAATAACACGTGAGTGTCATAAACAGTTTCCTTTTCCTAACGTAACATTAATAAGGCATTTGTTATTTATTATTTCTTTTATTAATAGAATTATTAGGTCAGCTCCCCCGACGACAGTTTCTTCGTTTAATATGAACAATAACCAAAACAACACGACGCCCAGAGCAAACCTTCGATGTACTGTCCCTGCCAACAGAAGTTCTCAGTTACCCACCGTCACCCTAACATCACAATTCTCAAACGTTTCTAGATACGGTAAGTACTTGTAAAATACTAGAAAATCAAGTGCAATCATCTGAAACTGGAATACATATATATAATTAAAACACAATTAAAAATGATTAAATAAATTTAAACCCAGTTCGACACCTGCCACCCTCAGTTGGATATTCTAATTGGTTACTGATACACAGTATACACATATTTCTTTATCTGTTTTTTTGTCAAACCAATTACCAGCCCTAGATATGTACAACTATTGTGTAGTGAAAAGAAATGAAATATTTTGTGTTAGTGTTTTAATGTTTTTCCTCTAACTACTTTTACGAAAAGAGTTGTTAATAATAAAATAATATTTTATTAGCTGACATTTCCCTTACCATCGTGAGTCAGCCTGAACAGCAACATAGGGCTCGCTATCAAACGGAAGGAAGTAGGGGTGCCGTTAAAGACAGAACCGGAAACGGATTCCCTATTGTTCAGTTAAATGGCTACGACAAACCTGCAACGTTACAGGTATTTCCCGCCCCCTTTATTTAACTACATATATCGACCATTTCTTATGCATTATTATAAAAAAAAAACATTGTTCAGGTTTTCATTGGAACTGACGTTGGTAAAGCGACTCCACACATGTTCTATCAGGCGTGCAGGGTTAGCGGTAAAAATTCCACACCCTGTATAGAACGTAAGATCGAAGGTACGGTAGTGATCGAACTGCAATTGGACCCCTCGAAAGAAATGGTTGCAACGTGTGACTGTGTTGGTATACTGAAAGAGAGAAACGTGGACGTAGAGCATAGGTTTCCAGAACAAACAGCCACCAGGAGCAAGAAGAAGTCTACCAGGTGTCGTATGGTCTTCAGAACAACCGTAACCCACGATAATGGCGTTCAAGAGGTTTTACAGATATGTTCGCAACCGATTGCATGCAGTAAGTACATAAAATCTTGATCTTTAAGATGTAACTGATGAACTTATCATTTAGGTCAATGAGAATTAAATATTTATTAGTTGTATATGTTTATGTTATGTTCATTTTCTCGTTAGCGCAACCCCCTGGTGTGCCTGAAATCTCCAAGAAATCTCTCACATCATGTCCCGCTTCAGGTGGTTTAGAACTCTTCATACTCGGCAAAAATTTCTTAAAAGACACAAGGGTGTTTTTCCAGCAAGTTGACGAACAAGGTGTTCGATGGGAGCAGTCTGTTGTCCCCGACAAAGAATATTTGCAGCAGGTAATATTTCACTTGTCTCATTCGTTTTCTTTGAGTAGCAGATAAAAATGTTTGTGTCTAAATCCACCTTATTTTCTTTTTGCAGACCCATTTGGTGTGTGTAATACCACCATATTTAAGACATGACATTATAGAACCGGTAACAGTCCGGTTATTCGTTGTATCTAGTGGAAAAACTAGTGAACCACACCAGTTTGTATATACGCCCACAAGTGGGGCAGTAACAAGTGGTAAGTTATTCACATATGTTGGGCAAAGTCGTTTAACTAGAGGTTAACTAACTGTTGCTATTTTGACTATAATATTTTAATACTTTATGATTCAACATTTAACCAGCTGACTAAAATATGCAAGAAGGGTACTGACGATTTTAAAGATAAAAACACCTTCAAAATACTGAAATCATGAATATTTCAGGCCCTTACGTTAATTGGTTTGAAAAAAAAGAAAAGTTAACGAATACTTCTATGGGTTGTGTCGATTTTAATAAAAAATAAATAATGGAAATTGAGAAAATTAACATGATTTAATGTAGTTGCGATTAAGTATTGTTCATCATCCTAGTCAAAATAACAACCGCAAAAGTTGAGTTAATCTCAATGCATGCTGTGCATGAAACTAACTGGTTGTATGAGAAGCACATTAGTAAAACAGGTAGGGACTAGAAGAAAAATCCAATAACTGCTCTACCTGACCTACCAATGTACTTTCGAGTGTTTTTGTTCAGTTATTGTTTCTATTTTGTGATATGTATATACACATAGGGTTACTCCTATGACTTGTTGATACTAAAATAAAAAAAAAAACCAGAGAAAAAAAGAGCATAGGGGAAACAGTACCTGAACAAATATTGTATGTATTTTCTTTAGAGGGACAAATACATGCTAAAGTGTGACAGAGGCGTGATTTTTTTTTGAACGAGGTTAACAATACTGAAAGCAGATGAAATTTTGATGCAAGGCCGTAGTATGAAGTCATTCGAATAATTAGATGATTGATAGCAAATGAAGTAGTATGAAATTTGTCCCGTGCTTTTTCTAAACAGAGAGTTCCATTAGGATGAAATATAATATATAACTATATATTTATATCGAATTTGATCTCTATCTTTTCCGTTTATTTATTTATATTGTTCATTGGTTCCTTTTTTTTCCTTTTCTTTGCATTCAGTAATTCGAACTTTTTATTTATTTGTTATTACTCTCCGTTCTCTAATGGAACTTGCGTCGGTGGCTTTGGAAATTGTTTTTCTTTTTTATGATACGTATACAATATTTTTTTGTTCTACTTTTACATTTTTTATTACTACCTGTTTCATCTTTTCACTTATATTTTTCAGCGAGAAAAAAATTTTTAATGCTAGACATTTTTTATATATATTTACCTATATTATTATATAAAACATGTGATATATATTATTACAGTATAATGTCTTTTTATAAATCTAATGTGTCATTTTTTTGTATTTATTGGTGTTCTATTTTTTTTTTTTCTATTTCTGTATTTTTAATAATATTTTTCACGTTTCACTGCTTCTTATAACTTGAGATGATGATGATAATAATAATTAAAAAAAAGTAT